GAGCTTTCCTGACTTCTGACGAGCTAAAGAGAGTTAGGCATGGTCTGGGAGCAAACCAACAAAGAAAGCTAGTAATTATTACAGTTTTTGGTGCCGAAACCTGGGAATTTACGGCCAGATCATGCCTAATACGAGCCAGGAGGGCGTCGACCGCCTGAAACGGAAGAGGACTACACTAAGAGCCGCCACAACGAAGATCATCAACGAGATCGGAGTCCTGCTGGCCACTCATCCAACCGACATCAGTGAGCTCAAAGAAAAATTTGATATTCTTCTACTTAAGGAGGCTTCCCTGAAAGAGCTGGACAAGGAAATAGAGCCATCTGTTCAATATGATGCCTTAGAAGAGGAGATAATTGGCGCCGAGGGGTACGCAGAATGGATCAGCATAACTAAGACACGAGTCAACTGCAAGCTGAAAAACCAAGAATTACGAAATGGCAGAGCATTGCGGAACGACACGGCCAACTCCCTACAACAGTAAAGCTTCCAAAGCCAGAGATCTTAAAATTTGGAGGACACATTCTAGTTTAATTATTTGAAAGTCTACTTGATTGGTAGGGCTGCCGACATGATTGAGGGACTGCAATTAATAGTGGAAAACTCTAAGGTTGCCCTCGAGCTTCTCACCCGGAGATTCGGCCAAAACGATCTCATAATCAAAGATCACATGTTGCTATTGATGGCTGTGCGTCTTATTCATGGCTCTAGGAACGTGAAAGCTTTTTGCTTGAAACATCAAGCCACTGCTTTCTGCCAGCCTATTTAGTGTATAAAGGTTTTTTGGGGAACACACATATATCTCATTTTGAAATAGTTGGGTTCGTTTGCTTCCTAAAAGTTAAACGACTCATTATACATTTTTGCTTGTGGCGTTTTAAAGGTAGAGTAACAGGGCTTCTACCGACAGAAAACCTAACAGCATCAGGGAATTCTAAGCACCTGGAAAATGAAGGTAATTAATTGTCAACGAAACCCTTATGTTGGCTAAGCCAGGAAAATTCACAAATTAAAGCATCATGACAGTATGCACAAATCGTCACAATACTCAAAGCATTGCAAGACTTCGCAACCTACTATTGAACAAACGGGAAGCACCACATGTCTCCAGCCTCTAGCAGGGACGATGAATAGAACTATCTTCTGGCTATCGGTTTGTCGGACCTTGTCGGTAGACGCTTCCGTCTATGTGTGACCTGTGCTTCACACAGATAGTTGCTTTAGACCTTCTTTTTCTGTAGTTGCGTTTTCAAAGTGAAAATATGTCAGGCAAGTCTCCACTGAAGGCTCTTTCCCTTATGCCCCTCCATTTATTTTAAAAAGGAAGTTATTAATAATATTGTTAATATTCTTATTACCATCAATATTACTGTTGCGATATCACTGTTGAAGAAGCCTTTTAACGGGGACTGAGCCTACCCGGTCGTCTTCCAAAGCACAAGCTCGGTTATACCTGTGCCGGACAGCTCGAATGGTGCTAAGTATATGACATGCTACCGGAAGTTCTTGAGCAACATGGAAGGCAATTTCAACACCTCAGCACAATTGCCAGATTGTCACCCTTCTGTAACAGCCAGCAAGGTCAATCGAAATAGTGCGGGAAAATCCGGAAAAGTATGAGAATTTGAGAACTTGGGAAACGTTCCGAAAAGCAATCTGTTATATCTTTTTTAATAGCATTCTAATATTTCTAAATATGGTTGCTGTACTCTGTTGCAGGTTAAGAATAGCAGGAAAGTGGAGAGGAGGAAACCACCTCTCCTTGCCATGATTGGTGCTTCCGTCCTCTTCTCTTCTCTCCAGTGTCGGCTTCACTAATCTGGAGAGAGAGGCAGAGAGACTTCTGCTATTCTTGACCTGCTACAGGCTATAGGCCTGATATTTGAAAGGGCACATGTGCTCTTGAAGGGGGGGGGGGGGGGGGGAGGGGGGTATAGTCTTCAATACAAGCTTGCTGTGCAGATCTGCATTAGCTACTAATTAATTTATAGCTATCTTGAGCATGAATGCTTCTTTTGCGTTTATCATCGTTGTTGAAAAGCAACTGTTTTCATTTCACTTTGCTTGAAAATTGTGACTAATGTGGGAAACATGATATTGGCACCATCTGTTTTATTGGTGCCCAGCACACTTGCTTAAACCTATACTTCTTATGTTGCAGGTTTCTTTGCACTGCGCCAAGCAGACCACAACCCGCAAGGGGGTCATTACAGGAAGGGCAAAGCATATCCACCGCTACCTTCTGAAAAAGTCAGTGAGCTGCATCATCGAGAAAAAAATGGGGAAGCAGAAGAAAAACGTGAGTACAGAGGAAGATCTATCTATCGTCGCAGCTTGTTTTGCCAAAGGCTGTAAGAGTTGAAAAGACACTTTTGATCTTTTCCTTTTAGGTTGAATTAAGGAAGAGCCTCAGGCTTTACCTCCCCCACTGGCCATCCCCTTCATTCGCTTTTGCGATTTAAATAAATTACAATTCCCCCCACCCCCCCCCAAATATTATGCTTTTATAAAGTAATTATAACAGCAGCATTATTGACAAACTTATCATTGTACCCTTTTTTGTCTGTAAAGCAACACCCAGTCAACAGGTGCTCTGGTATCACATTACAACAAAACCTGTTGTCACACCAGAACACCGCAGCCCTGTCACAACAAAACACCATGGCCCTGATGTGACACCAACACCAGATTGCTGCTGTGGAAATGTCCCAAACCACATCCGTGAAAAAGTCTGGTGTCACATCAAGTCACACCAGCCCTCGGCCTAGTGTATTGCTCACTAGGGAATTTTTCACAATAGTTGGATTTATCGCTTTGACATGTTGAGTTTAACGTGATGCAACTCCGAAAAGCAATTTTTTTTATGTGGCATGATACAACATGAGTCAAAATACCCCCTACACCCCCCCCCCCCCCCACAATTCTGGGAGTCTGCATGCCTGGAACTCGCCATGCCTTGCGTTTCTTAGGAAGATATGGAGATATGGGTACAGTTCCAGTGATGCTGCTTTTAAATGTTTCTAATAAATTAAAAAGTGAAAGCCGTTTACAACTCCCTGTAACACCGAATTAGAGCGCAGCTCTTAAGGAGGAGGAGGGAAGGGTACTGGGGGTAAAGTGACCTGGGGGGGGGGGTCACGTGACCTTGGGGGTCACGTGACCTTGGGGGGTCACGTGACGATGCCGATGATGTCATCTTTGATGTCACTGGTGACGTCATCCGTGATGATGACGATGCGGATGCCGGTGATGTCATCAGTGACGTCACTGATGACGTCATCAGCGATGATGACGATGACGATGCGGATGCCGGTGAGGTCATCAGTGACGTCACTGATGACGCCATCAGTGACAATGACGATGCGGACTCCGATGACGTCATCAGCGATGAAGACGATGACGATGCGGATGTCGGTGACGTCATCAGTGACGTCACTGATGACGTAATCCGTGACGATGATGCGGATGCCGGTGACGTCATCAGTGACGTAACTGATGACGTCATCGGGGAGGTCACGTGACCTCGGCGGGCGGGTCACGTGACCCTGGGGGTGGTCACGTGACCTCGGAAGGGGGGGGGGTCACGTGACCTCGGGGTGTCACGTGATCTTGGGGGTCACGTGACCCTGGGGGAGGGGTCGCGTGACCTTGGGGTGACCTTGGTTACGGCGACGCCGACGCCGCTCAAGCGGGGAACGGGCCCCTAAGAGCTGCGCTCTAAAATACAAACATCATGCTCTTGTCTCATTGCTGATGGCACACACATTAACCTTATTACGTCTGATCTCCTTGCATTAGGTCTTTCAACAGACAGCACATTTCTCACAAAAAGGGGGAAACGAGTGCTGGCCCGCCTCATCGACGACCAGGCTGCCAGGGAATGTAGTGGGAGGGGCTTGGGGGGCTTGAAAGAACCGCTGTTTTAGTTGGAAAACATTCTGGCCATGATTCTTGGTATGGTAACGATTGACTTTTTCCAAAGACAGCATCTAACCCTTTAGGTGACGTGTTTATAAGCCGTGGGACATGGCACGCTAAGGCGGTCGCAATATCCTGTCAAAGGGGTCGCAAAATCGAGAAGTTTGTTGGGCACTCTGTAGATGCTGTAAGTAATAATGAAACTTGTATAAAAAGAAGAAAAAAAAAACAAATAGAAAAGCTGTGTCAGTGCTATATTAAGATGTGATTGCATAGGTGATTCAAAGATCCCAAACTATTCGTCGTAAAATCCAATTTGATACTGTCAAGATCTGCCCACCCAGTCGATAAATCCTGGGCGATTTATCACCCAGGAAATCACACCCTGTGACATTAGAATATAACTTCTTGTTGTGTTGGCGGAAGGGAAAGAAGCAGGACATGGGCTGGGCTAAAGGCAGAAGAAAATGAGGCAGTATGCTAGTATAGAATGAAGATTAAAGTCACACACGGTCACTAATCTACAGTTCTGTTGGTTTGCTTTCTTACAATACAACATCTCTTTCAATTTTAGTGAGATGTGTGGCTAGTTGTTTCTCTCATTTTGCCGGCCAGTTTTTTCTTTACTAAATTTCAGTTGATTGTATGTTCTATTGGCTCTATGAGTTGCAAAATACAATGAAGTGAATATAAAATACAGCCAATATATGTAAATTAAAGCAAGTTCCAGAAATATATCATTAGCATTAGTCTGATACCCCATTCACACGGTAACCTAAAGGTACCTGTAGCATAGGTCCCTATAGTAAAGGGAGATGGAGATCGTATTCAGACGGGGCGTAAAGGTCCCTTTCGGTAAAGGTACCTTAGGAGTAAACGGAGCTTCCCGATCTCCGTTTGCAGCTACAGGGAGTAGCCTCGGACCCATAAATTCCAAATAAAAATGATCGTTTATGTTTTCTTGTCGTTTAATGCGTCGTTGGTACTAGAATCTTAGGAAGTCAAAGTATTAAAATAGATGGGGACCACAGACGTGATACAATAGGAACAAAATGTTACTCCCGGTAACAGGTAGCGGCGGCGGCAACAGCGGCGGGAAGAGACGCAATGGCTGCTACCTCTGCTCCCACACGGAACGACGACGAGTCGCGCTCTTCGGCGCAGGAGATTTTTGTGACGATGCTTTCATCTGCGCATGAGCCATTGAACTGGGGTGCCAGCTCTAGCGGCACCAGCGAAAAGAAAAAAAACGCGCGAGTGCACTGGTCCGAGTCAGAGACGTGGGCTCTCATTCGGCTATGGCAGGACAATTTGGCGGAACTTCGGCGGCACAGAAGAAACTCCGGCGTCTACGAGACGATCCGTGTAGGCCTGGAGAGACTGTCTATCGTCAAGACGCGCAAGCAAGTCAGCGATAAGATAGACAATCTGAACCAGACGTACAGGTGAGTCTGTTTTCAGAATGATGCTTATGTCCTGGGGCATGAGCGAATGAGGTTTTAGCGAACAGCGACATTTGAGCGAATCGACGTTTTAGCGAGCGGGGGCGCGCGTTAACCCATCTGCCGCGCTGCGCTTACGCCTCTTCGCGGCGACAGTCTGCGGTGGCTCATTACAAAAATGTATACCATATTGGCCCACCCGAAAACGCCGCTTCGCGGCGTCCGACCATTCGCTAAAGTGTCATACGGTGATACGTGGGCGTTCGCTAAAACGTCATTCGATCAAGTGAGTGCCTCCCGTTCTGGGTCGCGCTCGCAGAACTGTGCCAAACACGCTCTTTAGTGTTGCTAGGTCGGCTTATATGTATCTAAATATAAGCCGGATATATATATATATATATATATATATATATATATATATATATATATATATATATATATATATCTTAGTTTACGTCGTAACCAGACCTGGTAAGTTTTTTCTTGACGCGATACACTCAATGTTTTGATTAGAACTACCTTATTTAGCTGTGTTCTCGTCGTGCCGCCTTGGTGGCTCTGAGGCAAAATGAATTGTTATCTTTGTTCGGTTGGTTAGCTCTAGCTGGAGCTTTGAAGGGAGTAATTGACAATGAAAAAATTAATTGCCAACGCCCTGCTGCTATTCATCTGCACTGTAAAAAGAAAATGCAGACGAAAGATTGTATATAGGTGGCAACAAGCCCTTGTTGCTGAATAAATTGCATCACCCCTACATTATTTTCCTCCAGGGCTAAAAAGAAAAGCCTGACAACTGGGTCAGGAAAGGTCTCCTGGCCCTTTTACTACGATCTTCACAGTTTCTTGGGGAGCCTGCCCGTCAACGACCCAAGTCTCGTGAATGACTCGCTCCCTGCGGATGTTGTTGAGGTATTTACTGATTTCGTATGCCTTGAATTATGACGAAGGCAGAGATGTGCGATTCAACCTTTTAATAAGCTTGGAGAGAATGGTTAACATAACGAGTTACTGATTCGTCGTTATAAGCTGGAATCGAAGCAACTGTTGAGTGTGCGGAAGCAGACGTGACATTTGGCATCACCAAAGAAATTTCATCTGTTTCCCGCGGCACGTAAAGACATGCTTGTGCTATTTCATGTGCACGGTGAAATCAATCATAAAAAACTGGATTTTCTGTAGCTTAATAATGCAAACTAAGCAAACATTAAGAAAACTCATTTGGGTGGAGCATACATAAATTGTGCCCCGCACCTGTGATAGTCATGTGCCGCCAGCTCTTTCTGTGGCACTTGTTAGGGTCTGTTTGTAAAAAGCCAGTGGGGCATGCCGAATACATGTGAAGCAGCTCTCCATCCGTCTTGGCAGCATAAACTGCTTAACTCCAATAACAATGTGGTTATTTCCAGTTCAGAAGAGCGTCGACAAAACTTAAAAAGTCAACTCTGATTTCTTTTCGGTGTCGAGAAAAGAATGCAGAGTAAGGAAAACGAGGGAAGCACACCTTCTACGAGGTGTAGTGCTCAAGGGTGACGGCAGCTGTAACGGCAACGATAATGGAACTGTTGCTAGTGGCGCTTTTGTTTGTTTTAGTTTCATACCCAAGTGTAAAATGCATGTTTTAGTTCTATTATTTCAGCTTCTCCTGGTCCTACACTGAAAGTTAGTATGCACCTTATTTTCGCCCGATTTGCTCTTTGATATATGCTGGTATAATGCGGTATGCATACATCATCAAGTGTAAACCTTTCTCATGAGCACCCATTGGTTTTTATCAGGAACCTGGAGACAGCCCTCACGAAGGGCCAGACGACGACAACGAGGTGGTGGACCTAAAGGAAGAACCCCTCGAGGAACGGCCAAAAAAAAAAAGGAAGTCCTCCATGAAACAGGGGGACATTCTCATGCTGTTCATTGAGGAGCAGAGGAAACAAAGGAAAGAGCTTTCCGAAGCTAGGGAGAGGGCCCACCAAGACCGGCAACGGCAGTTTTCGATAATGGAAGAGTCGAACCAGCTCCAGCGGGATTTCCTGGATTTCATGAGGTCCCGGAAGGAAAAATAAAAACGGAAACTCTGAGAAATATTTCTCTTTTTACTTGAGTTTGGATTGGAAGCATTGAAGGGCTACATGCTTCTGTCATTTGAATCCAGATTCAAGATATTTTGCTCAGGATGGGACAATCGTCATAAAACTGGTAAAAATCTGTTAGTAGGCACTGAAACGCAGGTGCAGCTACAAGGTAAACTAAATGCAAACATCAATGATATAGCAAGAACAACTAGCCAGTCTGCAATTTTAACTGTGCAGCTGCTTATTACAATTGTGGTGCGTGATTACTGGCACCTATGTAGAGCCTACACGTATATGTACGGTCAGCATGGAACGAACAGTGGATACACGGTTCTGTCCGATGCTGTCTCTTTTAAAAGAGGAACGCCTAAGTTTGAGATGCACCGGGTGTGTGACTAACATATCAAAACAAAAGCCGCACTCGCAACCTCTGTATGAAGCAGAAAGCGCAGAGTCTAGTGAAGACCATGCAGCCGCTGGTCGCGTTTTATTTCTAACCGACTGTACTGTGAAATCTCAATTGGTTGGGCTTTCATGCTTACTGTAGCAATGACCTGTATTTAAGTGGACAAAGCATGCTTTGCTGAAAAGAAATGAAAACTGCTGTGTCATGCGAGTGGTTGAGCCAGCTCAGAAAAGGAATATTTATTTCTTTTTCACTGCCTGGAATAGCAATGAGAATTCAATGTCACGTGGACAGATTAATGGCATGTAGTGCATATTGTAGGACTTTCTGTGGTCCAGAGATTGTACCCCACGAGAAATAAGAGTCCGCATGTTTTCCCATTGCCCCGAGATGAATAAACAGTTTTGTATTATAGAATTTGATATATGTAGTCACTAACACTTTGTAAAGAATACAACATAAAAAAAGGCCTTAAAGAATGGCTTCAGTGCCCCTTTAACCAATTAGTGTTCTGTAGTTTACTGTGCGAACGTCTCGGGTTTCAGTCGTGCTGAGAGGGCGAACGTCTGGGATTTAGCCGCGCTGAGAGGGCGGGTTCGCCTCGAAGTATGCAACGAGCGCATCCCGCACTGCATCGGCGCCATCTTCTGTGGCCTTGGTCCTGTGCATTGGCTGCTCGCGCTTTGCACTCTCTTCTATTTTCCTGGCCGCGTCGACCCACTGTTTCTCCGCCCCGTCGTTGAGCATCTCGCAGATATTGTGTAGGGTGCAGCAGGCTCTGACGACAGTGTTCACGTGGTCGATTCTCATTTCCATCCGCTTGAGGACGATGCGGAAGCGGGCCTTCAAACGACCAAACGCATTTTCGACCACGCGCCTGGCCTTAGAGAGGGCGTAGTTAAAGTCCCCTTTCCCTTGGGGGTGGTTGAGGCTGTGGGGGAATGGTTTCATCAAGTTCCTCGTCAGGGGAAAAGCCTGATCACACAGGACGAGGGGAGGTATCTCCGTGCCATCAATGACCCTTGACACAGCAGTCTGGTTCTGCTCGAGCAGATGCGCCAGTGGGGAGCGCCGATAGACGCTCGCATCATGGCACCTCCCAGGGGTGCCCACGCTGATGTAGCGGAAGAGGTATCTATGGTCCACCAGGGCCAGGAGGATGACACTGTACCTAAAACAAAGTGACCACATGTGAGCAAGGAACAGCAAAAGCACCGCACACAACAAACATAGCTAAATTGCTTGCTACTGAATGTAAGTAGTGCTGTTTGTGAAATGGATCCTTGATGTGCCTCCCACCCACGGGCAGTTGGATTTGCTCACTCTGCAGGTGCTTTGGTGACATCATGGGTTTAACTTGGCTAGGGGCACGAAATAACGAAATAACAAAGGGAATGGTCTCTGGCGTGACTACACCCGTATCTATATCTGGTTTATAGCCTTGTGTGCAGCATACTTTAGTACAAGTACTTAATTTCTGACCCTGAAATTTTATAAAATAAGCAAAGTTGTCTGCAGGAAACGAGTATCAGTGTCTGCTTACCATCCTTTATAGTTGTGGTAGTCAACAGCCAAGTCCTTTGGTGGCGACACAGGCAGGTGGCAGCCGTCGAGAGCCCCGATGGCGTTGGGAAATCCCAGCACTGCCTGGAACTCGCGCATGTGGTTGTCGAGATCTTCGTTTCGGATCATTGTTATTGTGCGCGCCTCGAGCTCCTCAATGACGACGTCGCAAAATTCTCGGTACGTCTCATTGACGACCGACTGGCCAACGGCAAAGAGGTGGCCGATTGTTCGTTCCTCCGCGGTGGAGCAGAGCCTGTACAGGCTGATGGCCACCCTCTTCTCCACCGTTATTGCCGTCTTCATGGCGGTGTCTTGCCGAAGCATTGACGGCCGGCAAACGTCCACAAGATACCGGAAGGTGGTCGAGGAGACGCGAAAACAAGCACGGAAATGCTGATCGCCCATTCTAGGCAGCGTCTCCTCAAACCACCTCCCCGACCGAACGTAGACTACCCGCTCGCGTGGGATCGTAGTCCACTTCTCCGCAAGGAGAGCGGCGACCGTAAAGTTTGTGGCCATGAGCTTCTCCTCCAGCTCATCCGCTTCCGTTTCCGCGGCTTGTATACGCTCCTCGAGCAGAAGGAACTGTGTCCGTTGTTGCTGCAGCGACCACATAATTCCCAGACACTCGTCGTCGTCCATCGGGAGACGCTGGTCGTGGTCGCGGCCCGTCACTTGGAGGGTGGTGGGTCTGTGACGGTTCTTCCGGGACCGAAGCAATCGAAGCGATAAACGCAGAAGAGAGAAAATCCGAGGAGCAGAAAGAAACGGTCACAAAACTTCGGTACCACGTGCTCGGATTCACAGTGCTCGGAAAATTGGCTCGGAACCGTCTCCAAAACAAACCGCCGGGCCAGTGTGGCCAGTCCAGCCTAAGGACCAGCCGGATGTTCTAACGAAAAACTACTTTTTAGGTGAACATTGCAATAAAAGAAACATTACAATTATTACTTAGTATTTTAACGCAATGTGTCACATTTAATAATCTAAAAATGTGCCTCATGACTGTTTAGACACGGAAATATATAGTGTTCTTTTGCCCTGCGGTTTACCCGGGCTATCCCCAATGCAGTAAACATCGACCGTAAAGACTCCGTTTATTTTCGTTCATTTACCGTGTGATTCCGAACGTCCTTTACCCCAGGTACCTTTAGCAAAGGGACCTAAGTTATAGGTCCTTTAGGTGACCCGTGTGAACAGGGTATTACTTTGCAATGATCCAAATGTTTGGTATATGATCATCACCTATATTGTTACCCTAGTTTTCTGTAGAAGTATCAGATAGAGGCACTGACTCCTCCACTGGAAACTCAAGCATCCAGTTCCAGCAGCAGCAAGCAGACCACCCAGTGGACTCTGCCCAGCTGAGCAAGAGAAGAACCTCCCCTTACCACCCAAGCTGGCAAAAGAATCGCAGATATGGATTCATTCTGAGAAATCTGCAAATAACCAGGTTGAAGTGCAATATAAACACTGCCACAAGTCTGTACGACTCAGAAAACAAGGGGGTGCCAGAAGCTTCGAACTACAGCGCTTCATAACCACATGAAACGGAACCATCTCCAAATAATAAAGAATTTTACAGCATCGACAACAGCAACACTGCCAGCAGCCTCATGTGTTGCCAAATCACCCCAGACTCAACTGACCCTACCAGAGACCATAAACCGCAAGCAGAGCTGAGGTTCGGCACGCCCGCTGACGATCGTGCACAAGCACGAACTTGCAGAATTAGGTTCTAAACTGATGAAGCCCTTTTTCATGGTCGAAGATCCTGCCTTCATAGATTTCATGGGGTACTCGGCTCCCAAGTGGAACATACCGAGCAGGGGCTCCTTTGCCAACACAGCCATCCCAGCTCTCGAGACTGCCCCAATGGAAATTTTAAAGATCCAACTCAAGGTGAGCACATGGAAATTCCATCTAACAACGGACATTGGGTCTAGTCGTTGGGTCTACGACTTTGTGACAGTGCAAAAATCAAAAAGTCAAATTGGACGTTTAGTGTTTATACAGTGTAAGGTTGGTCTGCCAGGATGAGGCGACACTGGTTTACACTGTAGATGAGCAATTTTGCCAGTGCAGTACGACTGCTAACCTGGGGTCTTTAACGTGCTCACGCAGTAGTGATACACGACCGCACGCCGGTACGATGCTCATCCAGATCGAAACAGTGCACTGGGAAGCTCATTACTCCAAAGGACTCCTGGCCACGAAGAGTGCAGTCCTTGATATGTCTGGGTTTGGAGAGCAACCCACAGCCAACAACATTGGCCAAAAGCTCGAGGAAGTCATGAAAAAATGGTTAGTCCCTTTGGGGAAAAAAGGTGGGCACTGACCAGTGACAATGTGCAGAATGTCATAAAGGTGCTCAATAAAACGTGTGCTGTGCATGGCTCACTGTTTGAACTTGGCCGTCAAAGCTTCACTCACCAAGACTAGTGTGGAGGTGGAGGACACACTTAAGGCAGCCTGTGATATTGTCGGCCTATTTCGACATTCAGCCACTGCTCAGAGGCGACTAGAAGAAATTTAGCGCCGACATGGGCTGCCAACTCACAAGCTCCTGCAACCCGTTCCGACCAGACAGAACAGCACCTTCTACATGGTTGAGCGTCTATCCGAGCAGCGGCAAGCTGTCACTGAATTTTTTGAAGACAGCACAAGACACTACTTAACGCAATGCCAACGGGCTCTACTCAAGGCTATGATCACAGTCTTGAAGACATTTGAGGAAGTGACACATCTCCTCTGCATGGACAATGCAATGTTAGGACAAGCGTTGCCCTTCCTCACGTTCATTGAGAGGACAGTCAAAAGCACGATGGAAGCGGCAGAGCTAGACACTACGGCCTTTGGCCTTGCATCAGGCCTGCTCAACGAGCTGAACTGTAGTCAACATTTTATTTCTGTGAAAGAAGATGTAATGTTTTTTGCTGCTACTCTGCTGGACCCTCGCTTCATGGACACAGTTTCGACTAACGGAAGTAAGGAGACGACCTAAGGGTATGTGCTGCGT